TCTGTGCTCATTTCATTCGTTGGCCGCCCATCACCTTAATCAGGTGAGTGTTTCTGCGTTTAGGAAATTCAAGGTCAGCTCAAGTTATAGACGAAAACCAATAAATTCTTCAGAGAATGGACTCAAATGCCCATGAACAGCTGGTCTCCTTCATACTTCTACAGCTGCTTGCTGCTTTGAAAATGCTTCAGAGTGACGGTGTCGAGTCACTCAGCACCAATTTTAAGGTACAGATCGACTTTAGACCTAGCTGAACGCCAACGTATGTCAGGGAGATCTTTTTGACATCAGTGCACGTGATTGGAGGCTGTATCACAGAACTGAACTTAAAGGCCGCGATCACAATGGCTGATGGGCGTCACGGTTGTGATGACGTCGTCGAATGTCATACATATAAGGGCTTTACTAGATTGTCCCGCTCACACCTTCTGAGCACGGCTTCTGATGAGGCTGAACAATGACGTCATGAAAAACGTACCACCGTGATCACTACACTCACTAATTTAGCAGAAGGATTCAGCCGTTTCCAATTAATAGTTGTGTGCTAGTGTTTATGAGGTGGGGCAATGTGGTAGCGATCAATACAAGTGCAAAAGGGCGGAGCTTCGCGGGATTGGGCGGAGTTTCGTGGATGGTGTAAAATGGACCTTCCACATAATTTGTTACCTTAGCCTTGAACAACGGCTTGTCGCTCCTTTGCCCTGTAAAAAGAACCCCTATTTTCTTCCAAATCAGAGATTTCTACTTTCAGGAATTTCTCCTTTCGTACCGTTTTTCACCAGATTCTCAAGCCGAACTGTGGGAATTTCCGCGATTGATCTTTTTGCCGGTTCGTTTGCTCATCACCTATTTCTTTTTTTTGCTCATGAGTGGGACGTCTATAGTTTCGGGATATTCCTTGGAATATTTGTCAATTCAAATTTTTTGCTGATTGATTAGCGGGTGAAAAGCCCTTCTATGCACTGCAGCGGAACAGCAAACTCAACTGTTACTATATTAATTTCAATTTTCTTTGTTTTCTCTTCATTTTTCTGGTCCTCTTCTATCTTGATCGCATCTTAGGAAACCCTCGGAGCGGAAATCGAGAGCGGCGGAGATGAGCTAGTTGGTTTGTGTCGTTATGCGATGAGAGCCCTATGTACTTTGTTACATCATCGAATGGATGGAAAGACCCCACCTATCAGATTACGGTAGGTTACACGTTGTCCCACGAGTGTTTTGTTGCTTTTATGCTCTTAAAAATTCATAGAACTATAGATTTCTCTTTGTGAGTTGAGACGGTAGCGTATGGCGCTGTCGCCATGAAAATTTGTAGTTCGGCATCTAATCCAAATATGAATCAAGCCAGACCAATCCAGGCTTTCACCTTCTTTTCCTAGGGGGGAAGTGGTGATGAATACTGTGACACACCCATTGGCCTGGCCTCACCTTTCTATGAATAGATTAAGTTTGCATTCAGAAGCCCCTAGAGTCCTGAATTTGAGTTTTATCCTCTCATGAAATGTTTCATACGACCCCCTCTTTCAAAACAATTTTTACCCCAAAAAATTACCGTCGAGCGAGGGGGGGGGGTATATACTTACCGTAAAACCGCAAAACTTCTTACAACCGAAGCAAGTACGACCCCCCTCTACAAACTCATCAAAATACGACCCCCCGTTGCTACTTGTAGCAACATAGGGTTGACCCTGCTCCCAGGTAGCTTTGGGTTTGCCTACTCTACTCTCGAGGAGGCTCTGAGATGAGATTGTCCGACACCCTTTATCGAAGAGGGCGAGGTCATGCTCCTTCTATTGGAAAGAGTATCAGATGCCGTTTCGGAGCCTGTTCTGAGTGTAAAGATCCCGAATTTTGTCCAATGCGGAGGTTGACCTCAACGGTGAAGAAGATCTCTTCAGATCACGCTATTCTCGTGCACTTCTCGCCTGCGCCAACATACTGCAAGAGGACAAATCGTCGAGTTTGACGAAAGCAAAAAACGTGCTCGAGACAGCCCTTTGGGCAGGCGAGCAATGCCGAACGGACATTGAGGCTAGGATTTGGCTCGACATGGCTAGAGCGGAATGTGTGGACGCCTTGGTAAGTTAGGGGGATCTCCTGATTGCTCTTCATCCTTTCGATAACTACCGTTTCAGCTGCGTCAATTGGTATGTGAACCGGGATGTCATTTGGGAGCCCGAGAGCGCTATCGGGTCGAGTTTCTGCTGAGCGCCACTCCACGTTCGTTGATGGAAAGCCAAGCGGCTATACGCTCTGCCAACATCTGAACAATAACGGATCGCAGGCGGTTTCTTCAAGCAACAGGACTCGGTCCTTTCCGACCGTGGTGGAAGAAGGATCGGGGAATCTAGCGATTCAATAATCACGTTTTATTCCAATTTTATGTTCTTGTTTGAATATTTAAGTTTCTGTATTTATAAGAGTATTTTCTCGAAGTGTTGGTTCGATAAATATTGTGGGAAAATTCATGCAAAAATTTTCTGAAATAGTAGTAGTGAAGGTTGCCGAAGTCGTCTGGTGAGCGATGCCGCCTGAGGTAGACCTTCTGTCAGATTCTTTCAATCTTGGGGTTCCTGTGGCCTGAGAAAAACAGTACAGCGATTTAGGGGCCAGGTAGATCCCCATCCCATTTTCACATGCATGAACATGCTAAGGATATTTTGGACATGAGGTAAGATTGCCAACAAACAACTGACGTGGTGGTCTCCCACAAAATGACCGCTATCATTATCCCAGTATTATCAGTCACTTCTTCAGTGACTTGCACGCATTCTTCCAGCCCTTCTTGGGTCTCAGGTAGTAAGTGTAC